TGGATATATTAATTTTAATTAACTAGATGGGGGAATCCTTTCACGGTGTATATGTATATCAAATCACCATGATGTCCACTTTAAACATCTTTTAAGTTTGTCAATTATGCTACCATAAAGCTGAAATTCAAAAAGAAAAAAATGCGTTTGTTTCAGTTGGAACTCAGTAACATCTGTCCAATTCAGTTTATACCCACCTCCCTCCTTTTAGCTTTTCCTGCATTAGCAATCAGGAGAATATGGGAAAAATTCCATTGCTAGTGGATATTACACAATTATCTCTTCTCCTCCTCTTCTCCAATTTTTATAAGCATACACTGGCAATAATCTTAAAGGTGAAATAAAACCCAGCAATTTTCAAAGAAATCGTTGTATTCCCATATAGATAGCCTCCTAAAATTGTCCTAGTCTTGTCCACTGAAACAGTATTATGTCAAATAAAATTCATGTTTGGCGTAATTCTCCTAAGTAAAAGATCTTCACAGAAAGAAAAAAAGAATCATGTTTTTTTCTTTAAGTAATGTGTCAAAAATATACACATAGGACCTCAAAGGTAATCCACCATGAACTTAGCTGCTTCTTGATTTAAAGTCGGTATCTCTAGATTCAGACAAGATTTTGTTCTTCATTTTTATTCAAATGAAGTATAATTCACATATGATAAATGCACGTATTTTAAGAGTTTACGTCTGTAAGTCTTGAAAATTGTATTCCCTATTCGTCTACCAACCAAAACAAGGCCTCGACCCTTCCCATCACCCCAGGAATTTTCTTATCCCCTTTCCATCAATCCCCATCATCCAGAGACGAGCACTTTCTCATTTCTATACACCATCGGGTTCTTTGTCTGTTTTTGGACTGTGTGCAAATGAAATCACACAGTACTCTCTCTTTTGTGTCGCTTTCACTTAACACGATGTTTTAATGTCTGTGCATGTTGTTGTATTTATTCTTTTTATTGCTGAGCAGTACTACTTATATGACTATACCACAGTTCAGTTGCCTATTCTCCTATTGGTGGATAATTTGTTGCTTTTAGTTTTTGGCTATCATGAATAAGGCTACTATGAACCTGCTTGTACAAATTTCTTGGTTTCCATATGCCCTAATACCCAGAGTGGAATAACTGGGCTATATGGTGGAAGTTTATTTATCTTTAAGAGAAACTGGCAAACATTTTTCCAAAGTGGTCATGCATTGCTGATCAGAGCCTAAGATAATAAAAGGTTCCAGTCTTTTCATATTCTTGAGCACCATTTGCATTGTTAGTTTTTTTTAATTTAACGAACTTACTTAATCTTAAATAACAAATATGCTATTGTGGTTTTAATTTGCATTTAAATATTGACAAATGATGTTAACCATCTTATTGGATGTTTGTATACCTTCCTTTGTGACGTATCTTTTTTCAAGCATTTTGGCCATTTTTTATATGGATTGTTTTCTTTTTGTTGTGATTTGTGCTTTTTTCTTTTTGCTAGATATGATTCTTTTGCTAGATATACGTGTTGCAAATATTTTTTTTCCATTCTGTAGCCTGTTTTTCTCTCTTATTAAGGATGTCTGTTGATAAGTGAGGCTATCTATTTTGACAAAGTTTAATTTATAATTTGTTTCTTTTGTGGTTAGTGTTTTTAGTTCATGTCTAAAAAATATTGCCTAAATAACTGTAGGTTAATTTTGTGTTAGCTTGATAGGGGCACAGGGTGCCCAGATATTTGGTAAAACATTATTCTGGGTGTTCCTGTGAGGGGGTTTTGGATGAGATTAACATTTAATTGGTAGATGGAATAAAGAAGATTACCCTCCCTAATGTGGGTGGGCCTCATGCAATCAGTTGAAGACCTGAATAGAACCAGTCAAAGAGAATTCTTCCTTTCTGATTGCCTCCACACTGGGACATTGGCTTTCTTCCTGCCTTCAGACTCAAACTGAATCATGGGCTTTTCCTGGATCTTGAGCATGCTGGCCTTAGGGCCGGAACTACACAACTGGCTCTCTGCTTCTGCTTCTCAGGCCTTTGGACTTGGACTAGAACTAAACCATTTGTTCTCTTGGATCTACAATTCGCCAGTCTACTCTGCAGATCTTGGGACTTGCCAGCCTCCATAATTGTGTGAGCCAATGTCTTATAAAATCTTTTCATACACACACATACACATATTATACACATTATTTGTTCTATTTCCCTGAAGAATCCTGAATCATACACCTACTGTAAAGTCTGAAGGTATTCTATGTTTTCTTGTAGAAGCATTATGAGTCTAGCTTTTACATTTACGTCTATGATTTGACTCTAATGAATTCATGGGTATGGAATAAAGTAGGAATTGATCTTCATTTTTTGTTTTCCTCCATGAGTCTATTCAATTATTCCAGCACCATTTCTTTAAAAAACATTTCTTTCCCTATTGAAATGACTGGGTAAATTGGTCAAAAATCAATTGTCCATACAGAGATGCAACTATTCTGTACCCTATTGCATTCCACTGATCTTTATTTTTCCCTATGCTGTTACCACACTCTCTTAAATATTATGGCTTTATAGTAAACCTTGCAATCAGATATAGAAGGGCCTCCAAATTTGTCCTTCTTTTTCAAGATTTTTTTTGACTATTCTAGGGACTTTGGATTTCCACATAAATTTTAGAATAAATTTGTCAATTGCAAACAAAATATGTCTGGAATTTTGTTGGTGTTGCACTGAATCTGAAGATCAATTTTGGGAAAATGGACATATTAACGTTATTGAGTCTTACAATCTATTAGCATGTAATATGTATTTATGGTTTCATTAATTACTATTTGACTAAACTTTTTAATACAGAGATCTTGCATATCTTCTGTTAGATTTGCTCCTAGATATTTATTTTCTGATACTATTGTTTTTTTCTTAATTTTATTTTTTACTTAATGTATGTAAGATAATTCATAGATAATTCATAATGGAGAAGAAATAAAAATAAATAACAAACATTTTAAAAAACCCCTATCTGATAAGTGTGCATCTGGGACCACCTCAGTGTCTGCTTCAGTTGTGTGTTTCTTTTCTTTACTATGAATCACATTTTTATACTTATTTGTGAATCATGTACTTTTTTGTTGTGTGGTGGACATTATGTACAAAATTAAGTAGGGACGGAAATAAATATTTACAGTTGGAAAGCTCTGCTCCTCTTTGGTCAGGCTGTTAGTGTGGGAGCTGAATTGATCTAATAGGTATTTGATTTGCATTTGGGCTTTGATGCAGCCTTAGTTAGTCTTAATTTACAACTGATTTCAAATTTCTGAGAGTCAGGACTTTTTCTTTATCAGGGATTGATGTCTTAGCATGCCAAGGCTTCAGCAATCTCTTTATGTTTTACAGCTTGGATACCAACTTTCTGAATGGTAGGAGATCTCTCTCTCTCTCTTTTAAATTCTGGCAGTCAGCTTTTAGTCACTGAGATGTTCTTGTTTTCCGATCCCACCTCTGGCTTTCTAAATAATAAGAAATCTTTTTCCATCCTACTGACATTTTCCCGGCTTTCTGAGAGCCTCTATAGCGGGTTAAATAACAGCCTGGAGTGCCTCAGACAAATTCCTCTCAGCATCCTGCCGTGTCACCAGTCTTGAGAAGTGCTAGCCTTGCTTGTGGGCAAAGCCTTCTTCTCAGGGATGGGTGCTCTATCAGCTCTCCCGGACTTTGTTGCATTGTAATCACTCACATGCTCACTGAAGACTCATGAAGAAGTGTTAATGGTTGAGTGTAGATTCCAGGTGGCTGGGGCTCCTTAGGATTTCAGTCCATCAGTACAGCCTACACATGGCCATTAAAAGTTCATTAAAATTTAACTGATGTCTCCTTTCTGCAATTCAGGTGGTTTTGATAAAAGCAACTGCAAGTGTCATCTCTCTTAGAAGAGTTCATTACTTTCTGGAATTTAATTCATTCATGTTCTTTGTGACCTCAGCTTTCCGGTGGGTTTAAAAAGATAAAAGTACAATATTGAAGTTTATCTGGCTTGTTCTCATTACTAGTGTGGGAGAAACAGTCTTTCTAACTGGAAGCAGAAGTGCAGAATCGACTTGCTGCTTTTAAGTCACTGGCCTTGCAAAGAGCAGATGCAGAACATCATCGAGTTCTTTAGTGGCATGGAGCTGTCCCCGCAGCTGAAAGCAACTTCTTTGATCTTTTACTGTTCTTCTATTCTTGGTTTATCTGTCACTGATTAATGGTAATAATAAGATCATCTGAATGTGAAAAGAGCAATTCTTTAGGAATCTAACGTGAACTTTGAATTTTAGTCAGGGAAAAACCTGATTGATACTTCACAGGACTGAATAAGGGAAATGCTAAGGTGTTTTTTCTTATCTGGCTGTGTCTTAGGTGTCCAGCTACGCTGGATCCTTCAGAGATGTGCATGAATCCATCACTCAGAGTCCACGCCCCAGAGTGACTTCCCTGAGCACACATTTTTGGGTGAGTGGAAACTTGGCCTTTGATTAGGAAGTCTAGTGTGATTATGAGTACAGGTCCACCCTTTGAGGTCCCCGAATATCCAGGCTGCTTATAACTCCACTATACATCCCCCTTCCTCCTACTTCTCAAAGGTAGACATTTAGGAGTATCTCGCTCACCTTCTCACCTCTCTGTGCTCTGCCTTTGGGACACTTTAACAGTGTAATTGTTAGGAATTTGGGCTCTGAAGCCTGATGGCTTTGATTTAAATTTTAATCACACAGCCTCTGTTGTGTAACTTGGGCATGCCACTTAATATCCGTGTGCCTTAGTTTTCACCTCTATATCATGAAAAAAGTAGCAATATCTATGTCACCTGGTTATTTGGAACATTAATTAGGTTAATACACGAAAATCTTTAGAACAGTGCATGGCACACAGTAAGCACTTAATAAATGTTAGCTATTAGTATTGCATAATGTTTACTGAACACTTTTATACGGCCAGATAGTGTGGTAAGCAATTGACAAGCATTGTCTCACTTAAGAATCCCTCAAACCTGTAAGATCAGTGTTATCATCCTCACTCTGCTGATGAGGAAGCTCAGGCTCAAGGAGATTCAGTTGCACAATCTGTATGGTGAAGCCAGGAGTCAAACCCAGGTCTTTAAGATTCCACAGCATACACTTAACCACGACCTTGAGAACTCCCATTTCCAGTAGCATTTCCCATGAAGCATGTTCTAGAATTCTCCTGCAAAAAAATATTGCAGAGATTTAATTTTTCAGTGAAGAAGTTGCTTAGGAATCCAGAAGCTCTTGATTCTAAGGCCACGTATCTACTATGCTCAGAAGTAAACTTATAATGTTCCCACTCTGTCAACATCTCCCAAGGCTATGGGAACAAATCTAAGAGATGCTCAATGCCAAGTAAATCATCACCCACACTCACAATAGCTGATATTTATTGATAACTCATAATGTGCCTGAAGCTATGCTAAATAATTTAAATACACTATTTCATTTTCTCTTTGGAACAACTCTGTTTAAAAGGCATTTCTGCCCTTACTTACTGTTGAGGGAATTGAGGTTTGATTGGAATTAAATTACCTGTCCAGGCCGACACCATGAGAAAGAAATAGAGCCAGGAATTGCTTCCTGGTCTTCTTATCTCCAGGGTCCATATTTCTAATAACTCTGTATGGGATGACCAAGTGCTCTAGTTTGCCTGGGACTAAAGGGTTTCCCAGTATGTGGGACTGTCAGTACTAAAACTTGGACAGATCCAGGCAAACCATGATTGCGGGTTACTACAATTCTCATTGTTGTTTCCTATGAAGACTATTTCAAAATTACCTGCATAAAGATCCTGGGGGCGGAAGGAGTGTAGGAAATGGTGATGTTCTTGCAGTTTCTGGTATAATGACATACAAGAAGCACTCAAGGCCTTCATGAACTTCTGGGCCCTTAACACCTTCATTGACTATACCTTTCTTCTTGATGATGCTAAAAGAAACTGGAATACTCTGAGAGATTCAAAAAATCCTGGAAGCATTGGCAAATCTGGAAAAAGAGATACAGGATGCACCATGGGCCATTAGTTCTGAATTTTCTATGGCATGAAGACTTCTTTCCTATCTTACAGACATTTTTACTTCAATATTAGGATAAAGAACACAGTCATGTTAAGGAGAATTTCACCTTCCCCAGGCAGAAGAAATAACAAGTGAGGAGTCAGCTGTGCCTCAGCAGTAGGTCAATAAGAAAAGTCAGAGTCATCTATGGGGGTCAGGAAACAGACCATAGAGAGCAGTCAGAAGAGAGGCTTCCATTTGCTATTCTGAAAAATGCAAAGGAAAACTTACCTGATCAGTGACTTACTGAGGCTGTTAGGGAATCAGCAATTGTCAATCCTGCTGAAGGGAAGCTACTGAAGTAGACAGACAGGTGGGAGCCTTCCAGGGTCTTAGTGCAAAGAGCATGAGAGAGGAGAACAAATGAAGGCTCACACTGCTCTGCTCGCAACTAGAGCTCTAAGTAGAGCTCTTTTCTCAAGGCTGGAGGAACTGGAACTGTGAGCTCTGATAGCTGATCTGTAATCAGAACCTGATCAGATAATGCATCTAAAGGAATTCCAAAAGGATGATGAAAGATTTTTCCTCCCCAGATGGCTTTACCTCCTCCCTTCTCATAATTGAAAAAAGTAACAATTCACCAAAACAGGTATTCCAATTCTGTGCCAGTTTTTGGAATACTTTTGTGCTCCATTCGTGCAGGTTATAGGGTAGAGAATTTTTTTAAATTTTTGTTTGTTTGTTTTTGATGAGAGGGAAGAATCCCTAAATTCCTAGAGGATTTTGAGCAAGCTAACATAATTTAATAATCAAAGCCAAAATATTTTGTTGGGTGTTAATTATATGGCAGAAACAGTATTAATCCCTTTTTAGTGGTATCTCATTTAATTCTTATAATAACCTTTGAGTTTCCCATATTTTATTGACAGGGAAGTGGTCATATGGAACTTATATAATCTGTTCATGATTTCACACCCACTAGATGGCACAGGAAGGATCCGAATATTGGTGTGCTTGTCTCCAAAAGTAGTGCTGTCAATTACTTCACAATCATACCTCAAGGGATACCATCACAAGGAATGCATTTGTAGTTGGAAGCTTCTAGACTGTGAGACAGCTGGTGTATCAGTCAAGGTTCTATCAGAGAAGCAGAACAGCTTTGATACAGGTATTTGAACTTACCCTTTTGTGGGAACTAGTTAAGCAGTTTCTGTAAAGCTGTTGCCTTCATATCTGATGCTGGGGTTTGAAATCCACAGGACATGTAATTAGGAAGAGAAAATGGTTGTAAAGTAGGGGAGGAAAAAACCAAGTTGGAACTCATGCACACAAGCTGAAACTTACAAGTATGGACCAAAACCCACGTTGATTTTCACTGCCTCAAACTTTGACATCAGATATTCCTGGTGTCCTTCAGAAGTTGGCACCCTTCTTCTGAGAATGACCAGCTCACCTAGTTAGTCTAGGACTGAGAGGCTAATAATAGAATAAATGGGTCTCCAAAACAGGGGATGGAAGTTGAAGTAATCTTGCTTATCAGCACTTTTAGTAACCCACTTGGGTAATTTGTGCTTCCCCTTCCCACAATTCTAGTCTCTCTGGGTCTGAAGGTTCTTGTTCCAGAGAGGAAATGCTTCTAATTTGGTACACAGTGAGACTTCCATTAAACTTCAAGCTATATCTATTGCCTGCTCCTTTAGGTTTCTTGTACCAAGAGATAAGCAGATAAAGAAAGAGTTATTCTAGCGGAGATAATTGCCTGCCATCATCAGGATGTGGTAGGGATGCTATTATATAATTTGGGCAGAGAGGAATATGCTTGGCACTCAGGTAATCTACTGGGGCTTTTCTTATACTCCTTTGTCTAATATTGGGAATCACTGGACAAGTGCTGCAGGCATAGCATGAGAAGGGCAAGATGACCAGGATTAAGAGACTACATCATTTTGCCCCAATGCATCATGATGCCTAGATCAGTGGAGTTGCTAGCTGAGGGTGAGTGTAATCTAGAAAGGGTAGTAAAGGAAAGATATATTGACTATTAATTGTGACCTCAGGACCAGTTATAGCAATGATTCTTCCTAGCAATCTACTTTTAAGTTTCCCTGTGAAAAGAGATCAATCAGAATCCTGGAGCAGCTGTGTTCCAGATGAGGTGAATTTAACATATGGAGCAAGTGGATCCAAACAGCTGAAGCAGATATTGTCGTGTGCCGTCCAGATTCCCTCTTTAGAAGCAAACACACATTCCCCCAGCCCCAGCTCCCAGGAGTTTTGATTGCTGAAGTCTCAGAGTTGCTCTTTAAGAATTACAATTGGTCCTTTTTAGGAATTATACGTGGCCAAAGGAAACTGCCTTGTCCACTCCTCTTTCCTGAGGGCACCCTACAGCCAACTACTATTCAATACCTTGGTAAAAAGCCCTAGCCTCCTTTTTATTTGGAATTACTCTGAAGGTCCATCACAGATTTGGAGCTCCTGTAAGTGTTGGCTAAGACTTCTCTTACAAGTACTTCTCGGTTCAACCTCTCACCCCATTCTGTGTCCATTATCCCTCACAAATATTTTTGAGAGCATTTCTCAGCACACCTCATCCATGCAAATCTCAGAAACTCAGATTTTGTTCTCTGAGTAATCCAACTTAAGACATAGTGTAAGGTAGAAAGCAGACCAAGCTTAGTATGGGGAAGACTACAGTTAATGTGCTGTAGGTGACTGTCTATGTCCTAGTTAATCTTTTTTTATTCCCCCAGTGACTTAGAAGGTCTAGCAGGCACAAATATCAAAAAAGCTAAATACACAAATTTGAGAAGGTCAATTAATGCACCTGATACAGAATTCGGGATTAAAAAACCTTCAATAGAATGAAACCATGATGAAATAAAAGTGTTGCATTGAGGTTCTACAAGTTACCTGCTAAGCACGGGATCAAGCAGGAGTTAGCAAACTGCCATTCATGAGCCAAATGTAGTCAGCTGCTTGTTTTGTAGACAAAGTTTTATTGGAACCCAGGCACACCATTCTTTCCTGCCTTGTCTCTCGCTGCTCTTGTGATACCATGTTAGAGGTCATTGAGTCTACGTAAGCTTCAAAGCCTAAAATATATACTTTCTGGCCTTTTACACATAAAGTTTGCCAATCCCTGAAATAGAAGAATTGACTTTTGGAGGAATTACCAAAAAATTTGTATCAAGGAAATGTTGTAGCATCCCAACAAACAAAGGCGGTGGACCTGTCTGCAGCCCTCTGCCCTGGACCAGTCACATCTGGTGCCTTGGGTCACACTGCATAGTGACAGGAACAAATCTAGGTGGGTTAACTGGAAGCCATACCATAGGCAAATGGTTGAAGAAACTGAGGTATTCACCCCTGAGAAGTGATGACAAGAAGAACTAGGCGGATAGTGTGGTCTTCAAATGTTTGGAAGATTGGAATGGGTGATCTTTTTATTTCATTGCTTCATAGTAAACACTGGTTGGTTTATAGGATGGGGGACCGGGACTTCAAAATAATTTTATAATGGTTAGAACTGAACAAGCATGGAAGAAGTTGAACGTTCTGCGTGTAGAAACAATGACTGCAGGATTTAAACGTTGTGACTCTGAAGTCAGAGAGCTGCCACAATATAAGGTATAGGAATGAGAGCAAGAGGCAGGCTGTCAGGCTTTGTTTTCATCTATAAAATGTCTATGTCATGGGTGGTGGTGGGAATTAAATAAAATAATACATGGAAAGTAGCTTAGCTCAGCGCCTGCTACGTAATAAGAATGTAGTAAGTGTCGCTATTGTTCTCCTTATGAGTTGACTGAGGAAGAGTAACTAGTCGTTAAGAGTTGTTACAGAGAATATCTGTATATTTCGTGAAAGGTAGAACTTAGTCATTTTTGCTTTCATTCTTCAGTAAAATAAAGAAAAATAGGGTAAACAATATAAGGTTACCAAGCATTTATTTTTCCAAATAATTACATTAAAAGAAAACCAACTACCACCTACTCTTACTGTAATTTTGTAACAAAAATATGCTAACAACAAAATGTAGGAAGGGTATAATTTCCTATTTAAGGAGAGTCTTTTATAAGAAATATTAAGTAATATATGAATGTATGCATATATATGAATGCATATGTATATTGTCTCTATATTTATTCATATAATGTTTTCCTGAGTTCTTTCATTCTACTGC